CTTTTGCCCCTCCTCGTTGTTGTTGTTGCTGCTGCACATTTTGCAACAAACTTGCCAACAGCATCGCCGGGGCAGCCAAACGGTTTTGCCAAAGTCACAAACTTTATGGCTCCATTGCTGCCACTGCATATCCCGGCCCTCCACGGCGCACGGGTCCGTCCGTCCGTCCGCCGCCGCCATCTCGAGGCTTTCAATTTCCTTTTGCATTTTTGTATTGTTTAAAAAAATGTGTGCAGACGGAAGGACTACTCAAGGCAGCTTTAGGGGCTGGGTGCTCGGGGGGCGGGATCTGGTGCTGGTCCTGGTCCTGGTCTGGGCACCCAACAAGTGGATGCAATGGACGACCTGCCCCAAACGGTGCTCGTTAGCGCTAATGGGTGGCTGGGCATGTGGCGTGGTCTAATTTGCAAAATTGCCATCTGAGGCGACGCCCACAAAAAAAAGTTCACACAATTTTCCCTTAATTAGAAATTATATAGTCGCATAAAAAATGTACTCGGATTAAATGGTTTATTATACATACATATTCTGTAAGTGCACAGAAAACTAACTTAAGCATTGTGTGAACTTAATTAAGTAAAAGTTCATAAATAAAAGAACACCTGTGCTCCCCTTCAGGGAACTCCTTCCGAGAACCAGCTTTATATTTTCACAATAAATGTTCTTATAAAGAATAGATGTAGCACAGAAAATGCAATACATGAGTGTAAATATAGAAAATAAAATGCTCCTTTGGTTAATTGTTCGACAAGTCAATTAAATATCGCTAAATAGTAGAACAAAAAGGTTTACTTAACTAGAATTTGTCAAACAAATATCCGCTACAAACTATTAGTGAATGTTGTAATTGACATTTCCAATGTAATGTCCATTTCGTCCGTTGTACGAGCTGAATTATTGGACGTAGGTGTCGGGCTGCGGCATGACCACGCCGCAGAAAATATTCAGCACATTCTGCAAAATGCAAATTTTAATAAATTTACATGTATGCATGTACATAGCCTCAAATATGCGTCGAGTTCTTGGAATTCGGTGAACAAAAAACGAAAGCACACAACACCATAGAGCACTCACCGCATTGTAAAAAATGGCAGAATCCTGCATCAAGGCACCGCCGAAGAGGCTCTCGTATGTTTAACAGGCGATCATGGCGCGTTCCATTTTAATCAATTGCCGAGCTTTATGTAAAATAAAATACAATTAAAATACTGCGCAAATGCCAACGAATAGTTCCAACCAGAAGAGAAGCCAGAAAGAGCGCGAGAGTGAGATCAGTTATCGATTGGTGAGCGGTGAGTTTCGTTGCTGGGTTGGGTATGGTGGAATTGTTGGTGGTGTGGTGGAAGGGTCAGCAGTGTCGAGAAAGTTGCCAGCCCCTGCCAGAGACAAACATGTGTAATAAATTGGCCCTGTCCGTTGTTGAATTGAAACTGCCAATCCAATTAGTTGGGAACTGTGCAAACAAGAGGAGCCGGAGCCTGGTGCCCCAGCTTCCACTCGCATGTGGCTGCCGGGCAATAAAAATGGACACACGGAGCAGAAACAACATGGCGCTGGCAGAAGGCAGCGATCCGGGACACTGGCACAGAAGCACTCACCGATTGTACCGACAACCTGATGCCTTACCCTACCCACCTGCCACCTGCCACCTGCCACCTGCCACCCCTCGGGCCAACATCGGACACTGGGACATGGAAAAACAGCATTTATTCTGCCTTCTGGTTCTACTCTTTGTGTCTTAACTATTTATGAGGTCGAGTTGTTTGTGCAGTTTGATTATTTTGCTAGCAGGCAAGCGGCAGGCGGAGCACCAGCGACCTGTGACTCTTCATAATTCAACGGTCGGAGCTGGCAATCCGACCCGGCCAGACGGTGACACACAATGAGGGAGGGAGGTGTCAAGGGAGATCACAGTGAGCGTCCGCCCACTCAACGAGTTTAGTGGATCACTTGATGGAAGGTGCACACAGGTACACGAGTAGTGATTATTTGAATATTAATGTACACATATATGTGCATATATGTAAGTATGTTTTTGTCTATGTTTACATGTGCAAGGCACAAAAGGAAACACTGCGCCAAATGAACAGTGTAATACAAATTTTGGCACACATACTTACATATATATTCTCGATTTGTAGCCACAGCTGTGATTTGTCAGTGGAAAGCAAGCAGGGCCCTGCTTTGCCGTTAAATTAATGGAGAAGAGCCCTGCCTGTGCTTGTGCACTGCGTTACCATCGCTTAACGGAGTTCCCGAAATTCATCAGCTGAGCGGCATTCGTCTGCTTCTGCCAGTGCACATAACAATTAGCATTTGGCCTGCGGGAACTGCTTCTAGCCTTCGCATAATTCGATTTGAGGTGCCAGCTCCAGTCACTACTTCAGGGTATATATAAATTTGTGTACCTATGCTAATGGATCTCATTTACATACACATACTATGTATGTGCAGGCATATGTGTATTTTTCATATATTAAAATCGATTTTCCTGCATCAATTAAAAATTGCTTACTGCGGGATACATCTGTGTAATGGCGAGGTAGGGGATTGCATTGAGATGCAAACATAAAATGAAATTGATTTTATTTGTATAAATTGGAATTGTTTTTACAGAAATTCAATCCATTTTCGGTGATGGCTCGAAACTTGCCTTTTTTTGTATATACACATATTTCTACCTATGCACATAATATGCAAAAATCACAATAATAAAATAACATTCAACATCAACCAAACGAAAGGGACAGCCAGAGAGAGAGAGAGAGAGAGAGCGGGCGAGTGGGAGAGAGTGGAGTCATGAAATAATAATCCAGACAAAAACCGCATACCAACCGGTCAAAGGTTGGCACGAATGAGGTGGGGGGGTGCTGCCGGTACTGTTGTGGTTATTTCTGCTGCACAAGCATTTTATTGTGCCCAATGGCAGCAGAAGCTGTTGCTTGCTGCCCCAACGCCCTCACCGCAGCATGAGGCAGCCGGCAGTAGAGCAAGATGCAACGTTTGCCAGCTTTAATTAAAAAGTTCCCTAGCAAAAATGTTTTAGCTATTTTGCCTAGCAGCAGCAGTAGCAGCAGCAGCAGCAGGGAACCCTCAACCAGATCCCAACAGCTCAACCAATCTGACCGAGCTGCCAGTCAATGGCAGCAATGCAGCGGCGGCGGCGGCGGCTGCGGTGCCATCAAAACTTTACCTGGGACACACTCCAAACCGGAAAAGGGCGGCTGACTCCTGACTCCTGACGCCCCATGCACTTGATTGCAGAGCCTGGCTACCTGGTATCGATATCCCGTGAAAACTTCAATTGACAGCCTGCGGCTTAAAGGGGAAACTGAATGACAATACAACTCCGGTATGGGGGGGATGTGACAGTACGGACGGCTGGCAGCTGTTCCATGTACAAAAAATATTGCATTGGAATGAAGCTGCCAAATGGGTCCCCCGGGAGAGCTGCCATTTCAACCGAACCCCTAGATGGCTGGCTGGCTGGTTGGCTGGCCTCTGGGGTGCTGTTTTTACCATGGCAAATGATACTCAAGACGAAGGATTTTTTAATGATGTTACTTCCAGGAGAGCTCTCAAATCATTTGAATGCAAATTGTTCGCCCATCCAGCCCAGAATTACAGGTTTTCGTTTGGGTATTTCATGAATTCTTTATTCCACCGTCTTCGTGCTTTTCCAGCTGGCAAGTTGTGAAAGTGAAATGCGAGACATGTTCCACGCGGCTGAAAGGCAGGTAGGGACAGATGGATGGGGGTTGTTTGGTGGTGGAGTGGGGGGGGTTTGCTCCATTGTCACTGAACCCAAAAGTTCTACCCAGGCCATGCAGAAAATACACTAGGCAGCAGGATTTTGTTCCAATTATCTGTAGGTTTCATAGCTGGGAAACGGACTACGGATACGGATAAATTACGCCAATGGGAACATTGTAATGCGTTGCACAGTGAGGACTTAAGTACAAGGCACACACACACAAACACACACACATTCCGATGCATCGAAGGAATGGCAGGGCAAGGGGAATGCGAATGGGAATGGATTGGAATGCCAGGTCTGTCCTGTATGCTGCCAGGAGCCGAGTGACAGCTGAGGACTGGGCTGTGGCTGTGGCTGTGGAAACTATGCCAAGCGCCTGCTGCATGGGATCAATCTCAATTAATTCATGAATTAGGCAATGCTGGCTGCTCAGCTGCATTAGGAATAAAAAAACGCGCACCGCACTCAGTCCTGTCCTGGTTGCTATTTCAGGTTCTGTATGCTTCCGGAATGTTTTAAATGTTTTCCCGTCTTAAAGTTCCGTTCTCAGATCAATTAAAAGCTACCCACTATCCACCCAATCAATTTGAGCAGCAAACAACACAATTCCAGCACAATTCCAGCACAATTGAGAGTGATTAATTATCCGCCATTGCTGGCGAGCAAAGGTTCAAGTTCGCTAATTTATTAGTGTCCTCACTTGCTGATTGTCTCACTTTAATTACAACCATGCGACCAGTGCGACAAAAGGAATGTCGACAAAGATATTCAACATTGAATTCCATTTTTTGTATGCACCAAAGCCATGCCTTAAAGTTTCCTTGCAGCAACAAAGAGAATGTTCCACAGCTCTTGAGTCGAGGATATCGCTTATCGCTTTTAGCCAGAGACTGGCGACAGTTTGGTTTCTTTTCCGTAGAATCATAGAATTACTACGGCTTTGGCAGGGCCATTTCTTTATTGGCATTAAGTTCCAATTAAAAATATCCAACGAATTATTACACTAAAAAACATTGATTATTTAATCGTGTGTTCCCTTCCAGCCAAGCTCTCAAAGCACCCAAATCACATTCAATTCATCTGCAACCTGTGGCAGCACAGGGACAACACACTGGACAATAAACGGGTCCACGTAGATGGCTCAAGTAAACCGACCTTCAAGCTCTGCCCGCGGGGCCTGCAGCTAGGGCCCACACATCGAACAACTTAGTTCTTCGATTTACATTTATTTATACACAAAAGATTCATCAATAAAGGCGCAATACACTCAAGTCAGAAGTAATCGAAGCTTAAATGGATGAATGGATTATTTGTACGCAAAGTTATGCACTCGTTTCGGTATGGTTTTTATTATTATGTTTCTTCAGCACGAAAGCATGGGAGAAGGACATGCCGCAAGTGGCGCAGGGAAAGGCCCCTTCCCTGGTATGAGTTCTGCAAGATACAACACATTTAACATATACATAAGTCTCAGGCCTTTGGCCTCTCACCTCTCATGCCGGATTTTGTTTCCCCGAGTCGTGAACGATCGGTCGCAGTGCTGACACTTGAATGCTCTCTCGCCCGTATGCGCTGGCAAGTGGCGAGTCAGCTTTGAGGGATTCTTAAAGTCTTTGCCGCAAAACCTAGAGGGAATGGTTGATCGATCGTTGGTTGCTGTTGAACTCGGTTCATACTTACTCGCATTCAAATGGCTTCTTCTTTGCGAATGGCAACGGATTGCTGTTTGCCAATTGATCAACATTGATGGAAGTCAGAGGAGTGGATCGATTGGATTTGGACTTGGTGGTGGACTTCTTGCTCAAGCGTTTGGGGGTTGGGTGGTGGGCCGGAGACTCGTCGATGTTTTCGGTGTCACTGCTCTTGTTGCCGTATCCTAGATCCTTTTGCAGACTTGTAATCAGCAAATCGGCCACCTGCGCCGTCTCATGAGCGTCAGGTTCGTCGAAATCAGTTCTGCCTTTTAGCTGCTCGTCCAGAGCAGCAATCAGCGAGTCATCATCCTGCGCTGTCTGTTCAGCATCAGATGTTTTGTCGTCGGAATCATACTGCGGATCTCGAGCTTCCCTGCGACGTGCCAGAAAGTTCTCCTGATTCTGGATGAAGCGTGCTCGGAATGCGACTGCGCGATTTACATATTCCGCACAAGAGGCACAAATGCAGCTGGGTAGCTGCCGATCCTGTTTGAGCTACGTTTTGCAATGATTGCATTGGGACATTAGCTGGAAATCATTTGTGGCTCCTTATTAGTTATTAGATCGAACATACCGAGACACCAGTCACCAGATCGATGTTCGACAACAGTTCAGCGTTCTGCCGCTGGAAGAGGTTCCTGCCTTTGGTGTTGTAGATGGCAGACCCACAGGATCGGCATTGATTGTTCATTTTTATATGATTCGTGTGTGCGGAAATACAATTCAAATTCAAAGTAGAATGCAAAATGTTTTTGCGTATACGCACATTTATGGTAGGGTTGATTGTGAACAAAAGTCGATAGCACTATCGATAATATCGATGGTTGCACATAGAACCGAGGGTCGATTGTTTCCACCATCAATTAAATCGCTGGGCTAAAATTGCACATTTAATTTGTAAATAATACTTTTCGCATTGCTAGATGGATGTCTTAGCAGAAGGAATGGAGAAGTTTTCGAAGAGCAAGCTTGTTTATAGCCATGTAACATTGGACTTTGCTAACTGACTAGCTGGAAAAATAAAGATGGCCTCATGGGAAATGCCTGCAGTCAGAGCGAGAGAACTATATGCGTCAAGCTGCCTGTCCAGTTGAGCTGGGAGCAGCGCTGCATCAGAACTTATCGAAAATTTTACATTGTGGATAGAATTTTGTGTCAAATAGTGCCTCAGTTGTTCTACTTAAAGCCATTAGACGTGTCCAGGGAGGGCTACGAACAATAATGTTGCATTTTGTCTCTAGTGCAATCCCTCCCTACGCAGCGAAGTTGTCTAAGTCTGATGTCATATGGCTCTGAGTTGATCCACAAATGATGTCTTTAGTGGCTGGTCTAGTGGGTTGCTTTTGATTTTAATGCAGCGCTGAAATTTGTGCAGTCCATCAAAGTTCATCAATTGTTCATTTTCATTTTTATTATTGCTTAGGTATAATATACATAAGTATACATAAGTATAATATACATAATATATGTAATGCAATATGCAATAATACAAAATAAACTTATCTTCAGAACCATTTGGTTTTTGGGTTTCAATCAACAAACAATTGGAATAAGTAAACATAATTTTATATTTGATTTGCAGCTTCTGCAATTAGCTCCCCTATGTACATCTGTACACATATTTATGTATATGCAAATTTAAATCGTGCAGAGTTATTCAATCAATCTTAGCTCCCGTGCTATGTTGGATAGACTCTTCAGGTCCAGCAGCTCGGCTGTCTCCATCAGTTCCAGTAGAACGCCCTGATCCACATCGAAGAATTCTGTGTACCACAAAGTGCTTTCGCTGTCGATTTTGGGCCCGGGATCGTTCTTGTGGTAGAACGACCAGGTCAGCACTTTGCGCAAAATTAAAGATCTTGTGTTCGGAAAGTACAGAAAAGCATTCGCCACCAGGAAATCTTTGAGCCGCTCAAATCGATTGGCGACTCTCCTATCAATGATAATGATTTCGCCGTCGGAGGACAGAAACTCGACTCTCTGCATCTTCCCTCTATTTTCTGCCCTACAAAACAAAAAACGAAGAAAAGAAAACAAAACGCACAAAATATTATAAAGTGACGTCACTCGCAAACGTATACAGTCGAGTCGAGTATGCAGACAGAAGCTTGCACATGCGAAATTGCAGAACTTTTCTCTTGTATTTGTTTATATTGTTTTTTTGTTTATGTTTGATTAATTGCAGGCACTTTTGGCACACTCACATTTTGTTGCTGTTGGATCTCTGATGACGACGCGTCGCACAGCCTGCACCATTCCCAAAAAGTATTTATTGGTTTGTATTTACTTATCAATTTATTGTATTTACATCTGTATTCAGCCGAAACCATCACCGCCGTGGGCAGTGGGCCAGTTGTGACTGCATAGCCCCCACAGCGAGCATCTTGTACGCTTATTTTCCCTACTCTAAGTGAGATAAGGGAGAAGATAAGAGAGGAGTTTGTGTGGCGTACTCTGAGAGTCGCTACCGAAAGCTCCCATGAAGAGCTAAGCTTAAGCCAGACTTCGGATCGAATCGGATCGGATCTGCTGTGGAAGCTATGCGTGAGCTTTGCCCGAAATCAGATGATTACCCCGTTAGGTGCAGTTGCTGAAGTGGCGAACGAAAATTGCCATACATATTTACATACATTTATAATTTACATATTATACATACTCAAGCGTGCAGACATCGGGGACTCAACAAGTGCACAACATGCCCTGAATATACTGAATGAATGCTTCAGATGTACGGAAGGAAGGAAGTGAGCGCTTTCCAGAGACGAAGATTCCTTAGAATATTCTAAGTAACCTTTGGCCCACATATAGTGACATATTAATATGAACCATACTGAAACGAGTGCGTAATTTTGAGTACAAATAATCCATGGATCTATTTAAGCTTCGAATACTTCTAACCTAAGTGTATTGCGACTTTATCGATGAATCTTTTGTGTATAAACAAAAGTAACTCGAAGAACTAAGTTGTTCGATGTGTGGCAGAGCTTGAAGAAAGGCTTGAAGGCTTCAACTTGAGCTGTCGTATGTGCGGACATGGGTTGATGGTACAGGGCAGTGGGGGAAAGCCTCGCACTAAACCCACGAGAGTTCGATATCCCCACGATTTTGGTGTCTTGGCAGGACTCTATGCCCTTCCATTCTCTTGTAAAATTTACAGCTGCCGCTACTCCATCCAGATGAACAAGAAATATTTAGCATGAAGAAAACTTTCAAGTTGCAAGTTCTATTCGTACATTTAATCAACATTTAACTGCCAGCACAATCGATGGATGGGTCTGCAGCTGGTACGCCGTTATGTGACTTGGCCCCGGGCACCATTCACAGAGGAGACGTAACCCTGGTGACTGGACTGGGCGAAGAGCAGACTGTGGCCGAAATGGAATGCAATCCCAAAGATAAGGCTGACTTGGGGGCAGAATGTGGAGTGGGCCAGTTCAAAGGCCATTGCCGAAAACCCACCCAAACCCAATCCGGCAAATTGTCAAGGCAAATTGTTGTCAGGTGGAAACATACATATGTACATATGCACATATGTATGTACATAAATGTATGTACATTGGGGAGAGCAATATTTGTCATATCTTAGAAGTGTATGTATATTTATCTCTTATACGTATCTTAAAATTAAAAAAAAAACCTTGTTTTGCTACCTTAAATTATAATAAGATTAAGTGCTCGTGCCACAATGATCTGGCACTGAGTAAAGTGCTCTTAATAATCTCAAAAATTGTTTTCGCTCTTTTAAATTAGATTAATCCTTGCCGCATCGTGCTAGAAGTTTTGCCAAAATGCATCCCTGCCTCAATGTAGTTCTTACTTTTATCGGTCTACCACTTAGTCAGTCGTTTTTTTTTAACCAACAATAATCCACATCTTGTGTGGGAGAGTTGCTCAAACGGCTGCTGCCTAGCCGTTTATTAATAAGCGCCGCTTAATAGCCCAATCAAATAAAGTTTAACACGAAAAGTTAAATATATTTTGGCCAAAATGAAAGCTTGAAATTGCCTAGACGTTTAGCTTTAACTACACAAAATTAAGCAACGATTTTGAAAGCTGAACAAAAATAAAATGTTTCGAATTTTACATAGTCAAAAATGCAGCGGCAACAACGTTGCACGTTTCACAATGCATCTGTTAGATATTGCAGCACAAGTTCAAGCCACAAAGTTAAAGCTTTTTATTCAAAATGAAATGTATTCTTTTTTTTTGAATCTTTTGGTTCAGAAGTTATTAATTTTGATAGCTGAAATATGCCCCAAGGGCTACGCTTTGCGTCAAAATTATATTATTACCCCTGCTCTCCATATCCTGCAGCAATGCTCGTAGGAGCCGTTATATGTATGTACATTTGGTGTGGGGTGTATGTGTGTGTGTGTGTATTTGTACCGTATATATGTATGCACGAGTGTTTGCCATTAATCAGACATATCCATTTACATGTGATGAACTTTATCCCTTAACCTGTTTACATGTAAATTACCTGCTGCTGATGCTCATTTCACGAGTGTATTTTACAAGAGAATACACCAATGCAGATGCACACACACACACACACACACAAAGACAGAGAGAGTCACATGTACAGACAGGCATTTTACAGCAGGGTGCAGGATTGCATGAATAATTGAGCCACTGACAATGCAAGCAACATTGCAATGCATTTTTCATATTTGCATTTACCTGAGATACGCAGTGTGGCAAGGAGGAGTGGTGGGGGGGTGGGTGTGGTAGGAAACAGACATGACACACTTACGGGTTAAATAATATTCAGCATATGCAATTGCCGTTATATCCTTGTAATTGCCAAAAATAATGGAAATTATGCGTACGAGTAAGTCAAACACATACACATGGGGCACACAGGGGGCACGTGGGGGGCGGGCACACTGTCATGGACCCCGGACAGACAGACAGACAGACAGACAGACAGACAGTTAATTGAGCTGTTGGGCTGGCTTACAGTTCAAATTGTAGGCATTGGCTGTGGCTGTGGCTGTGGCTGTGCCAGTGGCTGTTGTAGTCTTAGTTGTAGTTGTTGCTGCCATTAATGCGAGTGTTGGTACTTTCGCACGCAGCATCCTCCACTGCTGTCTCCCTGTCTCTCCCCCTCACCCGCTAAAGTTTTCGGGTAAACACATTCATAAAGCAAATATGCCAGCACACCATCGTACCCACCAAGCCCACCTCCCACACGGGCCAAGGTTATATTAAGCTGCAGGTGAGACATCGGAGCATCATAGCAATAAGACATCCCCGGCCTGGCCTTACCTCGTCGCGCAATATACCTCCAACGGGATGGGATATACACTCCGCCACTCCACTGATGCCTGTATGTCGATGGCATCGGACATATGCTAAACCGAATGCCGAGTGCCGAGTGCCGAGCCGAGCTGAGCTTCAAGCTGGAGCCGAAGCTGCCGTGCTGTTCGCGTATAAAAGCCGCTGCCTGCGCCGCTGTCGCCAGCATTCTGCGTTCGGCTGGCGTAGGACGCGCACAACTCTCCTTGCCAAAGCGGAGACCACCACCACAGAGGCGGCACGGCACGGCAATTCTCCTCCTCACCGAAAGACGCGTCGTCGTTTGAAAAAAAGCGCGCGCAAAAACAAAACCAACGCGAAGGAAGAAACCAGGCGAAAATACAAAACAAAAAAAAACCAACGACAAAAGTCGCGCGCGATTCGTAAGCTGTTTACTTTGCCATTATAAATCCGGCGAGCGCTTTCTTTGTGTTTGTGTTGATGTTGGTAATTCCTGTGTTGTCCCGCACACCCACTCCCCCACACTCTGTCTTTTTTTTGCTCCTTTTTTTTCTAGTTGTTTAAACAGTGCATAAAAAGTAGACGGCAAAGAAGACAAATAACAGGAACAAAAACAAGCAAAAAAACAACAACAAAAATTTGCAAAATTTGCAAAACGGATGTGTAAGCGAAAAGTGTTGCATTTCCGTCGCAAGTTCTCGCTCTCGCTGGGTATCTTTGGAGCCACAAGAAAAATGGCCTCAGGTGCCGCCAACACATTGCCCCTCTCCGAATCATGTCGACTGGGGAGGGGGTGGCGAAAGCAGAACTCCAAAATATGTTGCTAAGGGGGTGTCAGGATGTCAGGGTGTCCCTCGTAAAAAATAATACATTCCCACAATGGCATAATAAAATCAGTTAATTGATGATTTAGTGCAGTTCGTGATATCAATATAAAATTCTGCATTATCAAGCAATCACCATTTACCACCATTATCTCATCAAAAGTAATTACATACAATATGTTCCACAGCAGCGACACCTGAGCATCCCCCCCATTCATGTGGAGTCGTTCGGTCCGTCGCTTGCGACAGAAAGAATTTGCAAATTTTACACACAACAGAAATTGAGACTAGAATGAAAACTAAAGAGCGAAATGAACATCCCATATGTACATAATATGTACTACATACATACATATGTATTTGTAGATGAACAGCCTGCGGGAATTCTCCACAATTGCGTTTATCCACAGAAGAACTTTCACTTCAAGGATCAGCAATCGCAATTAAATTTTTAAAATAAAATATAGACATATTTCTAGGGATATTTTACCGTTCTCCTAGAGGCATTTACGTTTATTCAGCATATGAATGCATATTAATTTGATTGAGTTGCTATAATCAAATATATTATCCGAAAATTTTACTAAAAAGCTCATTAACCGCAACCCACTGTGGTTTTTTACTTGGAAACAAATCAATCAAAATGGAAATTGCATTCTCTATGACAGAGATAAACACACACAATCAGAAGCAAAGAACATAAAAGAAAAAAAAAGACAAAAATCCAAGTTTATCTTAAAAAAGAAAATTTAAGTACTTTCCCAAAGTATTTTGTTCGTGTGGCGCAGGGCGAAAACTTTTGGCACAAAGCGCTTGAAATTTCATTTTAATTCGTTTTCAATTCGGTCTAAGCAGCCGCAAGGGCAGCGGTGGACAGAGTTAATGCAGCCGAGGATTGCTTAACTCGTGCCCCAAGTAGACGGATTGCGTGTAGGACCCACGTCGAGCCCTTAGCAAATGATTCAACTTTACTTGGATTGGTGGTATTGGTGGCCGCACATTCATGTGGAAAAGTTATTTGAACAAAGAAAGTTTCAACAAAAAGCATCCACTTCCAATGATCCAAACACGCGTATCCCTCTGATGCTCAACAAGCTGTGGCATTCACAAAAAAATGCATGAAATTCGTGTTATTTCTTTGAGCACACTTTTTAGATGAATATCGCGAATATACAAAGAAAAACAAAGAATATTCAAAGAATATACAACGAATATACATACATATATTGGAAAGAAGGATCTGCGGCTATCTCTGATCAGTACACACTCCATCAAATTGCATCACTTGTTGTCTCTTAAGATCAGCAAAGCATTTAAATATACCCAACTTCTTAATGATTTCCAAAAAAAATACTTTAAAATATTCCAAAAATCAATTTACTAAATATTTCATTTTATTTAAACTGGCAAAAAGCATACATGTACATTAAATTGATATGAAAAAAACTTAGTTGCACAATTGATTATATTCTCAGGTCTCAGCTGAATATTTGATGCTTTTAATTCCCAAGAACTTGTTTGGCAAATAAGTGTTCAAACCCTTTAAACAATTCCTTCAAACGATTCAATATTAATAATTATCAAGAGTTAAGTCATCTGAATAAAACTTGTCCCCTTATGTGGTTTCCTTTATGTATTTTGCGTATATAAATCACGGGAAGGAAATATGAAAAATAAATTGTTTTGTTATCAGAAAATATACGAAAAATTGTGCACTTATTAAATAATATTGCACGGCATTGTGACTGGTTTCCAGTGAAGGATATAGATATACCTTTGATATGAACCGAAATGAAATGATGATTTGATTGTGTAATTTGGCCACCGACAAAATTTTGTCCTCGCCGCAAACTGATTAATGCACTTTATGCCTGACAAATCTACCGTAATGTACCGTAATGTACCCCAATTTCCAACTCTCTCCCATGCCCCACCGAGGGGCATAATGGAGACGACTTTCTCTCTGTCGCTGTGTCTGTGTCACTGGCGAGAAAGTGAGCGAAAGTGAGTTTTTGTGGCCTGTCATTGTCGTCGGCGTTGTCACACGTAGCGGCGGCTCTGATGCTGCTGGCACGTTGAAAACTTTTTCGGCATAAGTTGACGGCTATGCGAGAGCTGTGTGTGTGTGTGTGTGTGGGCGTGGTGTGGCAAGTCGTAAGCACGATATGGCGCTGCAAAGTATGCCACACGAAATTCTTAATGCAAACGACGCCGAAAAATTTGCCAGCGGCAGCGGCCAGGCAATGAAACTTTGATGGAAGCCCCTGCCCATCCCCATCCCCATCTCCATTTCCATCTCGCTGCAGTATCCATAACCATGGAGCACCCCTCCTTCACACCCCTGGACTCTGGCAAATAAATTTGTCATGTCAATACAAAGGACGTGTAAACATTTATTATGTACTTAAAACTGTGTTGTTGCTGCCGCTGCCGCTGCCGCTCGAATGTCTCGATTGTCTGATTTAAATGTAAATTGTGTTTGTAATTCGCTTTTTGTATTTTGTTTTGCTGTTGTGCACACTGAACACTGATTTGTTATACAAACAAATCGGTTTTGTCCATCAATAAAGCTACTCTGCCCATTTGCAGCAATTTCCCGAGCGATAAGCGATAGGCGATTGAGGGACACAACAAGCGATTACCAATAAAAAGGAGAGTCGATCAGCTGATTGACAAGTAATCCGTTTAAAATGGCGCTGCAACTGGGTAGCGTTTGCCGGCATCAGCGTCGCCGTCGCTGTCACACCCAGGACCCACGACAGGAGCAGAACCAATATCTTCACGAGAAGCTACAACAAAAAAACAAACTGCAACAAGTACAGTCACCGCCAATAGTGCCAGTGATGCTGCTGCTCCTGATGCTGACACTCCTCACGCGGCCCCTAAGCGCCTTCTCGAACCGTAAGTAGAACACAAAAATATATTGGCAAATTATGATGAATCAGATACAAATTTATTTGCACAAGCAAAGCTTTGGAAGGGATCATACATATACATATTATCAATTAGTTTATGGAATTTTGTTTGCTGGAAATATTATAGTCATTCCCTTAGGGGAATAACTGAAACCTATTGAAGCATATATGTATATACAGTCACGATCCCAGTGACGATATCCTCACGCAACCACATCCAATACGCAAATGCATAGGCGTAACTCACTGCCGCATCTTCGACTAGTTGTTTGCCCTCTTGTCTGTCTGTCTGTCCGTCTGCCTGTCTGTCTATCTGCCTGTCCGTGTGTGTGTTTGTTTTTTTTTGCTGGGTAATCGAGTATGTGTCTAGTATGTATGCTTGTATGTATGTGAAAGCATGCGTTGGGCATTAAGTTATCAAGTGGAGCAGTGGAAATGCCACCGCCGAGGATGTAACATGTTTGTTTGTTTCCTTGCTACAAGCATTAAAATTCGCAGGCACACACACACACACACACACACTCACATCCGTCACCCACATCCTCATTGAAGGGGGTAAGGTTGAGACCGCGACCGAGACGGAGTCTGAGTCTGAGTCTAGGGTCTGAGGTCTCTCGATGGCATCCCCATAAAGTTCATGGCTTGGTGGCTTGTCCTGAGCACGGTCGACGCCTTGGCAGCCAACAGAACTGAACAGAACAGAACACAACCGAACCGAACAGAACAGAACGGAACGGAACGAGGGAGGACAGCAGAAGCGTGCATTAAAAATCAATAGAAGTTACAAATGTATCCTTCCATTGGGCAAAAAGGGCAAAACATTTGTGGCGCCATTTGTGCGCTGACAGGCTGACTGACTGACTGACTGGCTGGCTAGCTGGCTGGCTGGATGGCTGGCTGGCTGCTGCTTCGTTGGTTGGCTGCTTGCTTCCTTCGTTCTCGTCTGCCGCCGGAATGTGCAGCAGGGCGTTGAGTCAGGGACTCCTGTGCAGGTGTGGATCTAGCATCTGAATGCCATCGCAATAAGCACATTGAGTTTCAGTCGATGGAGGTGATCGGATTCGGATGTGCCGAAATTTATACTAGCAATAATTGAAACACGAGAAAAAAAAAAAAACCAACATCGGAAATTCAGACTAGCGATAACTGAAACACGAGTATGCAGCTCAGTCATTGCTGGCATATCATATCCAGCTAACATAAATTAGTATAGTAGCAAGATATCGGCTAGGGGCTAAAGCCATGAATATGTAGAAAGCCAATTTTCAATCGATAGTGGAGGAGCACTCACTCGACGTCCAACAAGTCCAAATTGATGCTCAAGCTATGCCAGAACGTTGTACGTTGGTCCGAGAAGGACACCAGCAAAGAGCATTCATGAATCATAAAAAAGAGACAAAAATTCCACTTTGCCAATCGAGTTTCATACATTCACATTTGGATCAAATAGATGTACGAGATGTACCCCACAACATACGCCCACAAAATACATATGTATGTACATGTTATGTGTATGTTATTTATGGCTATGTAACGCTGCATGTATGCTACATACATATGGCATACAATATGTGCCATCGACAGTCAATAAAACAAAATTTAAATGCAAACCAAACCGTAAACATTCAAATAAGAAAAAAAATGTTCCAACTTTTGTTGTTGTCTTGGCTCATTCTTTTTCTCCACTTCCTTTCCATTCTTTTTGCTTCCGATACGAGTTTATGTATGTATGTATGTATGAGTGTATCGGTGTATGGGTGTGTGCCCCAGTGCCTCAGTGCCAGTCCCAAATCCGAAGTAAGTGTCTGATTAGTGCAAGGGCCTCCACAACTTGTTTACCTTCGATGTGGGAGCCTCATAAATCCATAAGAACTAACCGAAACCGAATAGGATGAGGAATAGCAAAAGAATCACTTCGCTCCGCTCTCCCGAGTGCCTGGCTCAAGTGGGCTTTGCCCCTCGATGTGTGGCGCCACTCCCTCCCCATCCCCATCACCATTCGTCCCGCTCCAGCTACCGTTTCCTGTCTGCTTAATGGCCGGGGCCATGTTTTACCAAGCAATTCAATTTATTTAATCCAGTGGACAGTTCCAGTCAGCTCCTCCTGGTTCCTCGTTATATGCCCCATGCACTCCCCGGACCGCAACAGATAGCTAGATATGGGGGTAGGTGGTAGGGGGTGCGTGTGCGACCCATGCCACATGCCAAATGTGAATTTCCCGTTAAGCGTAAAAATGATCCGGAATCGGATATCGATGCTTCCCTCCGTTATTCCGTTTGCCGAGGTTGGTCAGCACTTGAAGAGAATTTTGCGACGCACGGAATGAAATCGAAGCAAAAATCGACCAGTTATATTCCATAAAAAAAGGCAAGCTCCAAGAAAGTTTATGTTGCACGTGTGGGGAAGATCTTAGAGAAGATCTTTGGGAATAGTTCCGTTTCCATCGTCTAATACATTGAAGATTCATCCCTAAAGTCCACCAATCAGCAGAATATAATGGAGCTTAATAACAGAACCGAAGACTTAAATGTTGTTAAAGTATATAAACGAGAAGGTACGAGCATAAATTCCTAGAAGCGATTCGAATATTGCAACCAAATGGTAACTTTTCATCGAATTATAAGTAATCCCAAACAGAAGAACATATCGTTTGATGCCGTGGTTCAGAGTCGAGAGCGTGTTGTCAGAGCATAATCCTGCCTGCATTTTCCAGAGCTTTTACAAGATATTTTTCTAAAGAATTCGAAGAATTCCTGTGAAAGTCCATATAAAAAAAACTGCGGCAGGAATGTTTCCTTTACGTTTTCCACAGATTTACATCAGTAGACTGCGAGAACAGCTGACACCCAACTCAGGGTTCAACAATTATTCCTGAAGTGAATGGTGCGAGATGTAGACAAAAACTGAGTTTTTTTTTAATTTTTATACCCGTACCAAAAAGGTTAAGGGGTGGGGTGTGCCGCAAGGACGCCCCCATAGATAAACGATCAGCTCATAGCCGCATGCCTGCCGTCTGTCCGTCCGTCTGTCCGTCGCCGTCTGATGGCGCCCGCTAAACCAATTGGCCCCTCAGTGTACCACTTCAAGTACATTTCCCCCCGCCCCCCAGCGTGGGCGCCTCTCACGCGTGCCCTCTCCAGTCCAATCTGACTGTCGGCATATATAGCCGTTGTTGGCCCCCCCCGCTGCTCGCCTGCTCCTCGCTGCCGCCGTTCGGCCGGCAACCCTCGGGTTACTAAAGTACTGATAATCACTGTTAGTGTAGATATACATTGTGTAGTGCATGCAAAAAGTAAACTTATAACTAAAACTCCAATTATACTGTTCGGGTATGGGGCCCCAGAGCGACTCACACGTTCCTTCTCGTTTTAATTTCGTTTGAGTTTCACAATTGTCTCTGTTTCTGTTTACAGAGCACAGCTGAGATTCATTAACCCTGCTTCAGCTACATATGTTCCAAACCCTCACGGAATAGCTAGCAAATTCCTGGCAGGAATTTTCCGTGGTGCTGGAGACAGGCCTTAAACAGAATATAGTTTCCCGTGCTATGATGAACAGTGCTAACAGTGCTAACAAATCCAATCGGAATAGGTGGAATGCGTCAGGGAATGTGTTCATTTGATCCTTCTAGGGTATTTACAGGTGTGACACGTTTTTCTGTTCTCTGTTCTCTGGTTTTTGATTTTTTTTTGGATTCACTTTCACCTGGCCTGGCCTGGCCTCTGACCAGTCACCAGCCTGGTCTCTGACCCGTGCTGACCTGGTTGCTCTACTGGCATGTGCTGTGCTGGTCTGTGTCTATTTAATTCCCGTACATTTTTATTAATTTTAATTGAAAGCTTTACGAGCGTTTAGCAGCTCGCTTTAAGCTGCTCCACCACGTGCACTCGTGCCTTCTCCTTCTCGCTCGCCGCAGGCTGCTGTGCCTTTGTTGGAGCTAAGCTCTAATGTTGTTATACCCTTGCCGGGGTATGCTGATTTCGGCAGATGCCACCAGACATTATTTATTGTTTATTCTTTAACCTGAATAACCTGTGGATTTCTCTTCTCTTTTTGCTCCACTCAGTATATAAATAAGGGGAAACTACCTAGATGGGATGCATATTTGAATGATCAGTCGAAAGGCATTGACATGTGCCAGTACATAAAGATGTAGCTGAAAAGAAGAACTACATTTATTTATTTGCAAGGGTATTAAAACCTTACAACCCCAAAGCTTGCCTTTCTGTCTTGTTTTTAGTTTTATATCTAATTTCTTTGCCCTATTGTTTTTTTTGTCTGAATGTGCACAGCTGAAGTCTCGCTACTGCTTGCTGTCTCGTCTCCGCTCTCCCACTCTCCCACTCACTGCTGCTACTGTGCTGCTGTTGCTCTGCTGCTGCTGTTTCTTTTGTTTGTTGTTGTTGTTGTTGGGTGCTTGACTCTAGCTCTTGTTGCTGCTGTTGTTTTTTTTTTTTTGCTTTTTCTGCTCTTGTGCTCTCTTTTAGTGTTGATTTAGTTGTTCCTATTGTTTGTGGACGTTTTTTCTTGTTGTGTGCAAAGTGCTCTCGTTCCTGCTCTCTCGCATTGGCTGCTGCTGCTGTTATTGCTCGAACTGTTGTTTGGAGACTGCTTGGCACTAAGCTGACGCTCCCACCAATTGGGGAGGACTTTGTCGGTAAAGGGGACGGCTGGGTTAACGGTAACGGTGACGGTGATGGTGACAAGCACGGCGACGACTGAGATTTCTCGCAACAATGGAAATAAAAACATCTGAAAACGCTGCCATTGAAGTGTCGACTGGCAGCTACCCGATACTCACACTGAGATGTGTGTTCTTTGCTTACATTACGATGACAACGAACTAATTGTAACTATACAAGTGGATGTGACAGCAGATACGAGTGCCTTGGCTTGCCAAAAGTAGAAATATGCCCCATAGAAACAGCAGCATAGATTAGCTGCGCTGGTGCTAGTCTGGAGTGGGTATACACCCCCATTTTGTT